CTGGATTGTCGGTCTTGTGAGCTGGAGTTTTCCCGTGGTGGAATGAATTGGAATAGATGCACAGAAGCACAAGGCCAGCAACTGAAGTAATTCTCACCTTCTCTGTGTTTGTGCTGAGCAGCTAGAGCAATGTTGTGTGTGTGATCTAACACTTTGAAAATTTGTTGCTGTGCTCCTTCTGCTTAGTCTGCATTATGGCTTTATCAAGCTGAAAGCCTCTTGAAGTCTGTTGGTCATTTTCTTTTCTTCATATTGTATATTGTTTCTAAACGAATTAGCTTCTAAGCTAATCTGTCACAGATTTAATTATGGTACACGATCATGAGGGAGTTGCTTTTTCCTGATACTGAGCAAGGAACTTTATTGAATAACGAAAGCATTTGTGTATTTAATTCTAGTTTGGTCTCTGTTTCACTGTAAAGCTGCTCCAACCTTTTCGTGCTAAAAGATTAAAGAAAAAAGTATCTGGATAAAAAAGATACCTGCGTGTGTCTTCCTTGACCATAAGAGTATGGAGCACCCTGAAAGTGGCAGAAATGGGGTTTTCTGTACTTTACAGGAGAGGAATTGTATTCAAGCGTCTTGGATTTCTCCTTCACACTATCCTCACCACCACCTTAAGTCAAGAAGAGAGACTCATTGTAACTTTTTAACTTCATCTTCCTGTACTACTTTCTTCCCAAAGTCTTACCACTTGGAAATGAGCCTCTTGATGTTGATATTCCTGCTCTGCTCACAGACATGTCGTACAGAGAGATTCATCTGTGCTCAGCAGCACTTTCTTGCTGCTATTTTTCTAACCCCTATTTTCTTAGCTTGATTCCAAGGCTGTTTTGTTATATTTTCTGTGATTAAAGGTTTTGGATTACTCCTTCCGTCTGTTTGCTAACAGTGTACCTACAGCTACACTTCTATCCTCTGTAGCTTGCTCTGTAATATCCTTTAGGTAGGGATGATTTGGAATGCTAGTAAATATGACAGTATTTTCCTTCCTTTAGGCTCAAGGTTTGACAGACCTTTGTGTGGCTGTTATCTGGATAATATTCTATGTAGGCATTAGGAGTAGGTGAGAGAGGCTTGGTCAAAGTTGTGCCACATTTTCGCCCCATCCTTTCTCTAGCTATGGGAAGTGTTTTCTCTGCAAACATTAAATGGTCCCTAGTTCAGTTTAGACTATTTGTTGAGTTGTGTTACTGATCTCTGAGTTGGTAAGCTACATCTTACTGTCTTGTTGGGAGGGGTGCTCAAGAGTTTAAAGCCAGGAATCAGTACTAGCTTTGCTTCTGGTAAACATGATGGCAACTTTATGTACCTGACCGTCCAGGTGCAGGATTTCCAAGGGCATTAAGCCACAAGCTATTTCTTCCTTCTCTTCTTTCTCTCTCACTTGTGCTCTATTTTTTTCCCATCTTAAAAAAACAAAGTAGCATAAGTGGTCTGTGCCACAGGAATATGTTTGTCGCACTACATCACTTTGAACTGCATAACATCAAAGAAAATCAGTGCTTTGATAACTTGATTTGAAAGGATTGTAGAAATAGCCATCATTATGAATCACAACAGATGGGAATGGAAAAGATGGTGATTTTCAAACAGCAAAGCTTGTAAGGTAAGGGAAAATACAAAGTAGGTGCCAGCTCCACATTCTCATCTAAAATAGCCAAACCTTACAACTGTTGTGTAGCTTTGCAGAATATGATTTACTTGAGGATATGAAGAGGAATGAGAAATGCTCTGTGTAAATATGTGTTTCTGAGGAACAAGGAAACAAATGTGGGCTCAGAGAAGAGCTGGAATAAGGGAGAAATGCTGCTCTGGTAGAATCTTCTTCCACTTTTTCCTCTGTTATAAAGCCACCCTTCCTGAAAGGAAGGGAATCCAAGGTTGCTTGCTGAGACCCTTTTCACCCTGGAGACCTTCAGTTCTTATGGGACATAGGGAGGAAGGAGAAAGCACCCCCAGCACTTCTGTGTTTTGGCATTTCTCTCCCGAGTAAACTCTGTGAACTGGAGTCAGTTTCTAGCTCTAGGAGGTTGCAAGAAATTAGGCCTCAAAATCATCACTTCTCAATTGCAAATATTTTAGTTTAAGGTGATGGCTGTTCAAATCGGAGTTTAGCTTATTCTTGCCTTCAGTCTATGAGATAGGAGTTTGGGCACTAAGACAGACTGTCAACTGCAAGTTATCATGCTAGCCTGTGCAGTGGACAGTGCACAGTAGCAGTCAGGTTAAATCAGTGCATCCTGTCTCATCCTCATCTCAAGGTGAGTAAGTGTTGGCTAGTGGGGAATGTTTATAAAGGTTTCAGTGGCATTAAGTTAGGACACTTCAGTCTCATTCAGACACTGCTCAGACTGCTACTAGTACTTCATCAACTGGTCCAAACACATTGATCTAGAAAATACTGCATGTCATTTAGCAGTCTCCATTTTATCCAGTATGAGGAGGTGGCTGTATGTAATGAAAGCTGAAGTTGGAGCCAGTTGAGGCATAAAGATGGATACGTCAGTGCTTTTCAGTGGTATGAAATTCAGAGACAACTACTGAGGATAAGATGCAGACCCTTCACTTCTTTTAGCAAGGCTGGCACAGAAGAATGTGCTGTACTGAGGTATTGCTAATAAAATCATTCGTTCTGAGGGCTTGTTCCCATTTAGCTTGGGAAAAGGGAATGCTCTCTTTCCTAGTTTTCTTCATCTTGCTCCATGAGGAAAGGATTGGGCATACTTCTCTGTTTTCTTTACAAAGGGGCAAGACTTTCCCCTCTTGCGCTTTTAAAAACATGGGCTCCATAGCAACAGTGTACCTTCTGCAAGTGTCTTCCAGTGCTACTACTCAGGCAAATGTAATGTCGGACAAACAGGACTGGTATTTCATGTCTCATAAGCTGTTCAAAACCTTCACATTTATGTGTGAATGCATTTTAAATATTGAAGGAATAGTTCTATATGTACTACAGAGCACTGATGCTAAGCTTACTACCCGCTGTGGCCGACTTCATCCATAACAGCATAGTGGAGCAGGACTGCATGGAAACTCTTTTAACTGACTTGTCAAAAAAGTGTTTTTTTTTAACAAAGGCAAGGAACAGGAAAGGAAATATGGGAAAATGCCTGTTTTGCACTGAGGGAAGTATGGAGTTGTTGACTCCTAAATTCTAATCCCAAACTACAGTCCTAAGTGATATTGTTTTGCTAATATTTGCCACACAAAAATTGTATCTACGGTGATAATAGTTTACAGTCATGATGTTTGGGGTTTCTAATCAGTTACTGGCTGAGACCATATTTTTGCATTATGTATGTTATGCCACTTGAGGTAGACGTTTATACTTCTGCTCTGATCTTATGAATGGTAAAAGAGGAAACAATATAAGTGTCTCGTTCATCAACTGACTGGTTTTGATGTTTTCCTTTTTCAAGAAACTGCATATCCTCACTTAAAAAGGGGAGAAAGAGAGACAGGACGTGTCTCACACTGATTCACTTGAGAGTGAGTATTGCAGAGTCAGTGCCTCTGGAGTGTGGAAGAGGAGGAAGTGAACTAATTGTGCTGGTCCGGTTATTCTAATTAATTTGATTAGAGCAGGGGGAACATGGTAGCATCAGCTAGTGGGGGGAAGGAGGAGTTCAATTTATGCCTGCAGTAGTTGAGCTGAAATCTCTCCTAAAATAAGGATAACTTCTCCTGGCAAAAAATGATGCCTTCAGTGTGAGAAGTTACATAACCAAACAAATTCAGTTACATGAACAAAAGCAGTCAGTCAGTTAAATTCTGCATTAAAAGCTCTGTTTAACCAATACTTCTGCCATAAAAGTGGTGCACAAGGTCTCTAGGTCTCTGCTGAGCAGTGTTGCTAACCAGTTCCAGCAGAGACCTTCTGAGCATACAGCATGTGCTGGAATGAGTCTCTGGTGCTAATTGTGTCTGTAGCTGTAAATGTCATACAGGGACACTAATATTTGAGGGAAAAGAGAAATGCCATCATGTGTGCTGTGTTAAAGAGGTAAGAGGTGTTAATAACAACCACAGACATCTCATTGTATCTTATCCAAACACTTTTAGCCTCGCTTCCTGAGCAGGTTGTTTAATGTGACTGTGCTGTCTGTCTTCAGCTAAAATTATTTGAACCTGTTGGCTTATTTTAGTCACAGCTGAGAGAAAGGCAGAGGTGTCAAATACAGTGAGTTTCTGTGTGGTTGTGTGGTCAGGTGAAGAGCTCTGCATTGTTCTTTCCAGCTAAAGCAGCAGCTTTTGAATACATTGTTTTACTCCAGGGACTGCATATAAGAGACTATGGGAAGAGGTGAGGGATCCAGCTGTGAAAAAAGTATCAGACAGACTTCAGACCTTGTAAGATACAGGGTAATCCACTTGTAAGGAAAAAATAACCCCAAACCCTGCAGGAAACTGAGCTGTGTCACAACTGCTAGTCAAGGGCTATTCATTCCCGATGTGACTGCTGCTCAGAGTTATTATTCATGGCCTGACTCTGGTTTGCTTTGGCTATGCTAATTCTGTGGCTGAATCCTACCTGCTAAGTCAGCGTCCCTTCTGGCTGTCAGCGGGAGCTGGCTTGTGCTCCTCCAGGCAGCCAGTGCTGGCCCATTCTGTTGTGGGGAAAATGGGAGCTGTCTGGAGCAAGCACACAGTCATTCTGCAGTCTGGTGTTCTCTATATAAGCTTCAGGTCACGGTTTTCAGATGGCCATGGCTGTTAAATGCCCAGTATCTCAAAGCTGGTCTTCTGCCTTTGTTTCTTGAGAAATGCTAAGTATCCTTTTACTGTTCTCTGAACTCTTTGCCATAGATGCCCAAGTTAGCGTAGTTTTTTTAGTATTTATATATTTATTATATTTATTCTTCTGTTTTTTAGGGAATGAGAAATGGCTCATTGGTAAAATAAATAAAATTTAAAAAGGCTCTCATAATTACTTATCTTGAGGGTATACTCTGGCATGGTGTACAGACCCAGACTTTTACCCCCTCTCTCTTCTCCAGGCTGTCAGCGCTCCATAGGCTTGTCCAATGGGAAAGCCAAGGTATGCAGCTACAGTGGATGGTATTACTGCAGCACCTGCCATGTGGATGACACCTTCCTCATCCCTGCACGGCTCGTTCATAACTGGGACACTTCCAAATACAAGGTAATCTCCCTGCAGGTTGGCTTGCTAGCAAGTGAACTGAATTACTCTTTAGATAGAAGCACAGACATTACAACAGATAGAAAGTTACAGGCCTTAACTGCTAACACTGTAATCTCTGTTCCTTTTACCGGAATGAGCCACCGTCAACAAGGCAGATGTTTTCATCAGTTTCCTTAGCTGGGCCTAAAACATTCCTCCACAGGAGCAGCCATGCTTCTCTTTCTTGGTGGCATCTTTTCCATCATTGTTTATGTGGTTGTTCAAGAGACAGGCTCTTTTAGCCCTAATCTTTGCATTTATTGGGCCTTTGAAGAGTACCTGTTTCATGAGCACAAGGGACTATGAATTGGCACAAGGGACTATAGATGAGCACTGCTTGGTGATAGGTGCTGAATTGTGGAAATGCCTACAGGAAACTGGCATTCCCGAACACGGTGTTTGCATGGCCCAGTACGTGTCCTGTCAGTTGGCATGAACATTTCAAGTGCACTAGAGGGACATTGCTATAGCACTTGTTTGGACCAGACAGACGAAAGCAACATAAAGAGAAAAATCCTATAGTTGTTCACCTGCCACACAAGCAGCTTCTCTGAAACTTCTGTAATCTGCTATTTTCTACTGCCTTGGTGGCTGGTTGCTAGATAGGGGCAACTGATTGCATGCCTCAAAGCATTACACCAGCAAACACAGTAGCAGTGTTGTTTTGCTGTCTCAGGGAGCATATGCTGGAACAAAGACTCGTAACAAATCCAGACCATGCTAGAGCTTCAGACCTAGCAGCCACTGTTGGGAGAGGCTGTTTGATGTTTTGTGTCTGCAAATATTATTATTATGGGCTATTTGAAAAGGGAAAAAATAACCAGTAAATGCTCTATTAGAGGAAAAGCAGCTGTCTTGAAGAAGAAAATTTGTCAGAAAGGGAGATTATTAAAAGGTAGCCTGAGCCTGCCATCAGGAAAATTATAGTCTTCCACTATAAAATGCAAGATTCTTCAGAGTTACAAAGCTCTTACGTGTGGGGACAAAACTCCTTCCCTTTCCTAGAAGCTAGGAATAAAATATTTAGGCATTCTTCCTTTGGATGCTTCTACAAAAGACCAGACTTGCTAGCCCACGGTAGTATAGGTAGCCCTGATACAGAGCAAGTGGATGGTAAGGCAAACTCACATCAAGCTGTAATATTGCCAAGAAAATAAACTGTTTTTCTAAACCTGCAGGGTAAAAACTATGCTTTATGCTCTGTCCCCTGTGGTCTTGGTGTGTAGGCAGCTGAGGCACAAAAGGAAATGGGACTTTCAAGTTTAAGCATTCACTGAAAACTTAATCTACTGTAATCTCACTGTAATGGTGAGAAGCTATCAATTTGCACCTTTTATAGACAGGCAGAACAGCTATGAGGTGGCTTGGGAGCACAAGCAAATTCTGTGCAGATACTCTATCAGTCTCTGTGCCTAAGTGCTCAGGGAGTTGGATTTAAGAGAGGAACGCTGTCCCTAAGGTAGGAAAACACTACAGCATCCCCAGCTATATGAGCAGAGAACTAAGGCAGGGAGGGAAGGTGAAGAGCACATCATGTACCACAGTGTCAGTGTGACAACTGAGCTGAGATCACTGGTTAGATCTCCTCAACTCCATCCCATCCATGTAAAATAGCAAGTTGTTCTCTTTATTTTTGTGAAATCTTTGGGGTTTTCCCCTTTCTGTTCAGTTCTGCCTACATATGCTTTTATTTGTGTCCTTCTGATGCCTCCATGGAATGACGGAGTGCTATTCTGAGACAGAGCACATATTGCCTGTGCTTTTACATCTGCCTCTCCTTTCTCCATTCAGAGATAAGGCCTGGTGTTTATTTTTTCTCTATGTTCTAAAAGGCAACTTAGTGCTGGCTGCTGCTTTTAAGTGTTACAATGAAACGGTGTGATTCCTGATTAGTGTATTAATTAAATGTGCTGATTCGGCAAAGGCAGATACACGTCCCACTTCCTTGTGGTGATCTAAGTACTTATAATTTTATTTGTGCTCACTTTTAAATGAAGATCACTTAATTTGTCAGCAACTCTCAATTGGCCAGCGTGCCGACACAAAGCTGTGCAGCAACATCCCAAGTGAAGCTGAAAAAACAGAGCTTCTTCTAAGTGCACAGCCCTTCCCCTCACAGGTAGTGCAGCAGTGCCTGAAAGTGGAGCTTCTGTGGTGGGTGATTTGCTTCTGGCTGGACTCATGGCATAGGCTAGATTGGTTCTGCGGGAAATAAGCACATAGCATCTTTGATGGGCAGAACTGAAACAGGGTTTCGATCTTAACAAGCTTTGGTGTTTCGCACAGTCTGAAATGTGCCTGTCAGTCCCCCACATGGCATCAAAGTAAATGAAGGGTCTGAAAATATGCACTCCATCCCACTGCCTTTGCAGAGGTTTCTGGGGTCTGTTCTGTCTCCTAGGTACACTAGGACATAAGCTTTTATAATGATACAATAATTGGGCATGTTTCTCTTTTACGTTTCATGGACTCCCAGACATCTGAGCAGCAGCAAAACTGTTACATCAATTAAGTAGATTTTGGAAATGGAGAGGTTCTTGTCTGAATTTGGCAAGACAGGTCATGAAAAAACAGAAGCAGTAGAACCCTGTAGAGCTGTGATTTTCCATATCTGGGACTTAGCACCTGAAAGCATATGGGTAGGAGAAGAAAAATCCCCTTGACTGCAATAAAAGCTATTTGAAAGGACTTGGCAGTTAGGCATGTTTCTCCTGTCCTAACCAAAGTAGCAGTTCAGTCCCCAGGTTCACTTTTTTTCCTGTCTCCCTACTGTTCTCATATTTGTGTTTACATGTGTTTGTGTGAGGGGAAAAGAAAAGAGGCAATCTTGTGAACATCCTTTTTCCTTTTACTTGGGCCAACTGTTTTCCCCGTTTGCACACAAAAAACAGTAGGTATTGCAGTTTGGTTCAAGTGGCTTCCAGCAAAATGCCGGACAAACACAGCAGGAAATGAACTCACTGTGCCAGAAGGCTTCAAGGGAGGCTGACTGCTGGTAAATTGAATTCCGAATTGTGAGTTTGCAGCCGCTAGAGAAGAAAGGTCTGGAAATGTCAGCATCCATCCTTGTATGACATTTAAAGCTAAAACCTTGTTGCACTTTCCATCTTTTCACTCCTTCTGGCCTACTTAATGGGGGTGTCTAGTCTTCCCAGTTAAATTGGGGGACTGTAAGTATGCTTGTAGATGTACTAGAATATTGGCTGGTAGCAAGCTGAGTTATTGTGACTGCCTGACCCTTCCCATTATAAGACTACATTTCAGCTTCTTGTAGCTTTGCTATGGTTGATTATGTGAGTTAATGTTTTACATGACCTGTGTGCCTGTGTCAGGCATTCAGAGTGAACCGACACATACCTGTCAGACAGCGATGCTGGGCGAAGTACCATTTTAGGGCCTGGGGAACCTGTGGAGTTATGCTCTGCTGCATTTAAAATTGCACATTGTATTATCTGCGTAGTTATTGGTGGGAAGGTTGGCCTTGGCATTATTTCTTACATTTGTATTATGCCCTGTGAAAAGCTTACATTTAGGGCTGGCTTTCCCTGTAAGTAGCTAGTGACTCCTGTAGCTAGTAACTTGTGCTGGTTTTGCAAGTGGTGCAATTGGTAAGAATGTCTATTGCTTTTCCCTACTTCCTACCTTACAGCACCAAAATGGAAATAACATCCTAAATCTCAAGAGTCTATGATGTGCCCTTTCTCCTTTTGTTAGCCTAATTCATCCCTCCCTCATTCAGTGTAAACACTGATTTAAAGGTCTGGGAGGGCTAATTGAATTGTGGAACAAATAGTATTTCCATAGCACAGTTTCAAGTGATTTGCAGCTCATTTCAGATAATCCCATCTTCTCTTTTCCAGCTGTGATAAAATGCAGAAATAAGGAATGAGAGGGAATTTGGCCTACTCACCTCAGAAACAGGAGTATCTTCTCTAGTGGGAACAAAAGTCCCATTAATTTATCAAGATTACAGTAGCTGTTTGGTTGGAGATAGAACAGAGCACTATCATGAAAAAGGCCTAAGAAAAAGTTGCAGATGAAATACTGTGAGTCAGTAATACCAGTCATTATTTGTGTGTGTTTAAAAAAAAACAAAACTCAATAGATATGCTTCTGATTATTTTCTTTTTACATCATTTTATCCCTGCCGGCTGAGTATGAAACAAATGGGAGCAGTACTTTACCCTGGACTTCTGTACTCTGGAGTAGTACAATGTGATTGGATTTGCAGTGTGTATGTTTCCTTTTCTAATGTGCTTTGGCACTTACCTTTGTCAAAAAGAAAGCAGCAAAGAAAGAGGAAAATCTTAACAGGGAAGAAACTTGGTAATTAGTTTTTAGACTTAAAAAACACCTGGTAAGCTATGTTACCCAGCAGTGAAAACATGTATGGGTGCAGATATTGCTGTATATTGGGTAAGTAAGCAATTATCTCACACGCTCAACTTTGATGGGTTTCATGAAGTTTGACTTGGCTATAAGCAGAGACAGCTGGATCTCTCTCAGCTCTGTCTTCGTTTGTAATTGGTAACAAAGTAAGTTTTCAGATGCAAGAAACAGCTGACAGATCACAGAGGGGAGGATCTGCTTAAGAAGAGTTGGGAGGAAAGCCTAGCTGAACGGCTTTATTTTTCAGGTATCAAAGCAAGCCAAAGAGTTCCTGGAATATGTTTATGAGGAGCCATTGATCGATATCCAGCAGGAAAATCCCATGTTGTACAAGCACGCCGAACCTCTGGCAACTGTTGTCCGCCTGAGACAGCAGCTAAAATCTCTCCGAGCGTATTTGTTCAGCTGCAGAGCAGCAGTGGCTGAAGATCTGCGTAGAAGGTAAGAAACACAAGACAATGTACAGCATGATGATGTCCTTTCCTTGTCATATTGCTTTTCTCCATTGTTTTTTATCCCTCACAATCTCATTCTGAAGGTGTTAACCATTGTAAAAGCTGTTGTGCTTGTATCTGACTTCCCTGAGCAGCTGGGTTGTCTGTTGCCAAAGTCGGTTTTATAGGGTCTGAATACCTGAAGTTGTTCTCAGCAACTATTAGCCCAGGGGTCACACATCGTGGTGAGTATCTTTTACTTCTCCTCAGGCTTCCTGGCTGTGGGTGAATATTTCCAGTCAAGGATGATACCTCGTGCTCCCTGCCATGGCATCAGAGTGCCAGCTTGGGGAGGCACTGTTGGGACCTTTGAAACACCTCAGAGTATGGCAAAGCATGGGAGAGCCCAGTCAACTGCCTGTCCAACGCTTCTGCCCTCTTCTGTGATATGATCTGACATGAAGGCAGAGGCCAGATGTAGTCCCCTGGCATGTGACCCAGCATATGATTTATGTGACACCAGAGCACTTGTGCTCTTGCACATCCATAACATGGCTGTGCTGAGTGTTTTGTTTACCTGAAAACACATCACAGCACAGCAGAATGTGTTTTATATTTTCTGTGGTGGAAACAGTAGTCCTATAGAACATGAACTTGATTTTGGAAGTGCTGTGTCTTAGTCCGTTCAGCTGCTGCTTCATTTTTTCTAACAAGCTGAAAATTAACAATCTTCTGAAGACTATCAAGCCACAGTTGTGATCTTGAAAAAAACAAGCTGCTTTTGTCGTGGATCTCTGAAAGAGATGGGGAGATGTCTTTGCCCATGCAGTATTGTGAGGCAAGTGGCACAAGGTACAGGCAGCTGATCTAATAGTAAATGCATCTATAAGCATTTGTATACTCCAAGTTTCTAAGTAAGACAAGACTGCAAATAGGAAAGCCACTGCTTTGAAATTGTGAGCCATGAAAAGGCAAGGAAGCAGATGTCATCAGTGACTGTATTTTGAGCATGGTGTTTTAGGGATGGGGAACCTGAATTCTCTGGGAGGGAGAGGAAGATGCAGTAGCTCCTTTATCCCAGGTAAGGAGTGAGGCGTTCTGCTATTTGGTGCATAACCTATGACATTGCTTTGATGAACTACCTAGAACAACTAAGGGAAGGATATAGCAAGTTTCTGGAAAGCACTGCTGAGTTCTTGTGTGAGACCGGCTGTGTGCTAATATGTGTTTGTGTCTTACTGTTTAATTCCTGTTACTTGATAGGGCAGCTTACAGCAGTTAAAAAATAAGGATAGTTTTTTTTTTATTATAGATGTTGGCATTATCTTGTAGAGCTCTTTTGCTGTTCAACTATAATAACTTTCCTATGCCATCCTCTTCAACTGCAATAGAAGTAAAAGGAGACAGATTTGTGAAGACTGGCATTCAAAAACAAAAAAGAAAAAAGGCAGAAAAGAAATTATTCTTTCTGATTAATGCTGAAGAAAAGAATCCCCTGATTAAAATAGACAGGAGGAGGCACGAGACTGAATGGACTTGGGTAAGAGTGAAAGAAGAGAGATCAAAAGAGGCCTCAGCAGAGAAATCAATGGATTAGAGACAAAGAGATGAGGGAAAGCCAGAAGGAGAAGAGTCAAAGAGGGAAGGGATTTCAGGAAATTAAGAGTTAATGAAGAAACCAGGACAAAGGGGGAGCTCCAAAACCTACCTCCCAAAAGAAGAGATGTGTTGGGGAAATGGAGAGAAGAGAAAACGAACAAAAATTAGCACAGAAATGTGTGCATAATGTTTTCTTGGGTGGGGAGGAGAGAGAAAAAACCTCCCTGTATCAAAATGAAACACCCAGAATAGCAGAAAGGGGAGTTGGGAAATACTCCAAATGCTACCTTTTCTTATCTAAGTGTTCTTTCACGCTGTCTCCAATTAAAACTCTCTGTGGTGGAGAGGAGGGCACAACCCAAGAAGTGTTTGGTTTTGTGCTAGGGAAGCATCTCCAGTTTGGTAAGACTTGTTAGAAGTGCTGTAAAAACCACTGAAGGAGTGTATAAAACACATCTTAGATTTCTGCTCCTCCATGGTCTGTTGCGCTGGGTGCTTAGCTAGTTTGGTTTGGTGCTTAGCTAGTTCCTCAGAACTCCCTTTAGAGGTCTGCAGAGATGAAAAGTAAGAGACGCTTTCCCAGAAGGAGGTATTCCTTGCCCAGAACAGTCCCAATGGCTTTGCTTTCTGCATCTAGTATCCCAGTGTGCAGACATTCGCTATCAATGTGATGGCTTTATAGAGCCCAGCTGAAGAGTAAATAAAGAAAATAGGTGATTTAAATTTCCCTTTGGCTCGTCACATGGGCAAGTTGCAAGAAAAGGAGGAGTTTAAACAATATGGTGAGACGGCACTCCTAAATTTAGTACCTAGTTAGAAATGGAAGACTGGGGGAGAGAATCCAGTTATCTGTCCAGCTCTAAAAACATTCTTTTTCTGCTTGGTCTTCACCTTAGCATGTGAATGACTATTAATCACAAGAAAGTGAACACAGCATGTTGAAGACCTGTCAGACCCGTATAAACAGACTGAAACAAACTGTTAATATTGCTGTCTAGGGAGAACTAAAAACAGACTGATTAATTATATTGGCACCTTGCTGCCTTTGGGACACTGATAGAGCCTGCCTTATTAGGGAAAAGCAGATCACTCTAAGGTTTCTTTTATTAATACTATTTGCATTATCATCTTCTTTAAATCTATACCTCGCTCTTGAACCCAGATCACAAAATGAAGATGGCAATGAAGTTAAAAACTCTTGGTGTCCTCTGGGAAGACAAAACTGTTTACAGTGCTTACAAGGCACTTTTTTCTGAAGAATTCCAGATGGCTATAAACTAGGTTAGCTCAGGATCCAGTTGGCTTAAATGTGGAAATGTTATTTATAATGCTTGGTGTGCACAGATAGGTACTTTGGGAACTTTGAAACTTGGCATCTAGTAGAGAACTCAGGGCTGAACCATGTTGTGAACTTTGAAGAAGCAAGTGACTATATAGAAAGAAAGGAAGGAAAAAAAACAGAAGAAATCCTAAAAGTAGCTAGAAGGCTCACAATAAAAGTGGTAGTCTTCAGTTATAATGATTTATTCTCACCTATTGCTTCACCAGATTCTAAGCTTTTTTTATATTTGAAAGGGAAAAAAATAAGGAACTCGAACCTGGCTGGGAGGAGGAATCAGGCCCTCCACCAGTTGCATATCAGCAGTATTCCTCTGAGATTAGCCAGCTGAGACTCTCAGCCTGTTGCTGCGCTCCCTGTTTTACAAGGGATGTTGTTATGCCTAGTTTGCTGTGGCTGTCACTTTGGTATTGCAACAGACATAATTTGCCTCAAATGTCTTTACTCAACAAGTTCTTGCTTGTTTTGGTTGCCTTGCTTGTGTGGATGCTGTTCAGGCAGAAACTGCAAGACTGAAACCTTATGCCAACATAGAAATTAGTACAAGTGGAGTTGTACAGATCCCACCGCCATCACCTGCAGATTGTGGGATGATGAATGAATGGCACTGGCAAACAAGATAGAGTCAATAAATTTGATAGCTAAGAAAAAGCAAGAATTAATTAAGTCCATTAAATAATGATGTAGGTTATTCTGTGAAGCTATGCTTAATGATGCCAATTTTATTCTGCTTTTGCCCTCTTCCTTTTATCTCTAGACACAAGACAGACTAATAGCATGTCCATGTGCCACAGCCTCTTTTCCTCTGTTCTTGTCATGGTTGAAGGCTCTTCAGGTCAGAAGGATTTTTTCGGGGAAGTCTTCAGGCACCCCTGCATCTGCAGGGTGGGTTAACCCAGGTCAACCCTCAAGCTTCTCTGGGCACTCTGCTCTCTCAGCTGTACCCCTCAACTTGCAGTTCAGGCGTTGCTAGCCCAGGTATTTTAGACAGATGGCAGTGGCACAAGGTAAATGTTCTGCAATACATTCCTGTATACATTAGTGCTCGTTGCAGTCTTCTGAATGGTAGTGAGAAACCGTATGGGAAAATTTCCCTCTTGTTAGTACTCGTCTCTGTCTAATACCATTTGTCTGTCAGCTCCAAACCAGCAATACATCAGTTTCACCCTAGCAAAACTCCTGTGCTGGTTACATTACTTAGCATCTTACAGGACAAGCACATTTGAGCTTGCTGTTGCAGCAGGAGGTTAAAGGTATACCTCCAGTGCTGCAGACCTGTGCTCCTGACTGAGCCTGCCGGTCTGTCAGCATGATGTGAAACAAGCCCAAATTCAGTTATGCTGAACAATAGAGTCCTGTCACTTCCTACAGTGAGGCCTTAGACATATCACTTCTGACACAGGGGTAGATTACTTTCAAAATATTTGTGTGGCAATTGGGGAACCTGTCTAAACACGTCACAGGAATCCTGATTGATCTTATGCAATCACTATACCACCAAATACCTCACGTATGTGAAGCTGGAGCTATGTCATCTTTCAGGCTAAGGACAACAGAAGGTCATTAAGTCATGTCCCAACTGTCAAAGGAAACTCTTTTCTCCATTTTCTTTGCAATGGGTAGGCCATTTGGAAACTGGAAAATTGCGGAGCAGGAGAACAAAGACACATCTTGTGAAAGCAGTAGACTGCAAAAAGAAAGTTTGAGCAGGAAAGGAGCAGAAAGATTTGGTTTTCATAGCACTTAGGGCTCTGAGTTAATGGCGAAAACCAACAGAAGAAGAAAATTTGTTGCATGGGTGATTGGAAAGAGGGCAAGAGAGAAACTCATTCAAAGACAGTATCTGGGTATCCTGAGAAGATCCAATGTTAAGACCAAACAATACCCCAAAGTGCGAAAAGAGGAGAAAATAAATGCAGAGATGTGTGCATGAGCCATTTGTTGTTTTATATAGATCCTGCTTGCGGGTACTCATTGCAGTAGCTGATATAAAGCATTCCTGTTAATGGAGCTCTTACATACAAACCACATCTTCGCTTCACTTGTTGTGTCTTCATGAAGCAGTAACTGCATGCGGGGTCCTTGCAGGCTAACATCTTAAAAAGCAGAAAGCAGGTGGCTAAAACTGTAGAGGGTAAGGTTAGGTTGGACTTTGAGCTTTTGTTTGAACTAGGGGTAACAAACAGAGCTGGAGCAAGAAGACGTGTGCCAGAGCAGCCAGGGTAGGGGCAGTAGGTCCAAAGGAAGGTTAAAACACAAGCCAGTGTTCTACCATGGTAGGCAACCAGCTGAGGAGCATGCCAACAGTATACATAAGTTTTCCAGAGGACTGGATCTTGTAGTTCAGTCTAAGAGCACACCTGCACCTCTTTGTCAAATAGATCAGTAATATCTTTCAGAATGGTAATTTCTATTCACTTTTTGAGACTACATTTAAAAAAGAAGTTCCAATTAGATGTGGACGCCATATTGTGACGGTTTTATCCCTGTGTTTTTATATCAGAAATTCCAGCAGCAAAATACAAGTGTTCAGAAGTGCCTGACAAAAACAAAAAACATTTTCTTATTCTTCAGTGCAAGTTAACTGGGGATCTAAGCTATTTTGATTTCAGAATGAAATGCTATGCCTCTTGTTCTCTGCATCCTTTTAGTAACTGTGGTACTTGATTCCAAACTGGAGTTTGATCTGTAGTAGTTCTTGTCTTTCACGATGTTACTGTAACCTTGCTCAAGTAACCACAGAGGAGAGAGTCAGCATACTGCATTTTAGAGTTGAAAGTTTATATACTGGTTCAGGATTGCTGATGGATGATAAGGGTAACTGTTTTAAGATAGAGATGCTCATGGGGAATTTCATAACAGCATGGAACAATACCTAACATGCTTGCTAATAAATCTAACACTAGTCCACATCGTGGACTGTGGATACATAGGAATGTCTGCTCCCAGAATTAGAAGAGTTTTCATACCTCACGAATGTGAAATGATTCACAAATGCTTTTCTGGAATTAGAAAAAAATCATCAGTCTGGTGTAAGACCACAAGAATTAAATAACTAGTGTTTTGTTTTATTAATTTATTCTTACTTTTTGACTTTCAAATCACTGGGTTTCCCAGGGCCCCACTTCTCTAGATGACTTTTTTTTGCTGGGAAGTTAGGGTCCTTCTCTCCCAACACACTTCTGGGAGCTGAGATTTCCAAGGAAATGCAAAATCAAAAGCTGGAAAAAAATCCTACCTTTCCCCATCACCTCCAGTGCTGTTCTCTGTCATAAATTAACAGACTCCATGTCAAATGATTTCAAGGGATAAACCTAGCAATAGGTGTTATTTACCGTGCCATGTACCTTTGGGATAACTCACATATATTTGGGATAACTCTCATATATTTGGGATAACTGGCAATTCACTGATATCCCTCTATAGTTTTTAAATCGTATAGTAACCCTGAAAAATGCGAGCTCCTCTCAGTGAGGTTGGAGTGCGCACAGCTGCAGCTGTGGGTGGTGCCTACTGCTAGCACTTCAGAGGTCCTCTTGCCGCTTGTCTAGGGGATAAAAATAATATGGGAGCACTGGTAATCATCCTGGGCTTGCTTGTCAGCTACTTTAGTCTGTAGCATGGTGCACTGGCTTAAAAGTAAATTGGTGGTGGTGCAAGTTGCAGTGCCAGGGTATGACCCATGCTGACTGAGGAAGTGGACTCGGTACTCGGGGTGCTGTGCCAGCTGTGGGTGTAGCAGCTTCCTGCAGAAGAGGGGTGGAGAGGCTGCCTGAGTGTGGCTGCATTCTAGACTGGTGCATCTGCCTCTCCCGTGAGTCACAGCTCAGTCATACAGTTCTCAGCCTGGTCAAACAAGGCACTCCTGGCTGGCACGTGAAATCCCGGTGTCAGCTTCCCCTCTCCTCCCCCCTTCCTGTCCTAGGTTTCAACAGGCTTTTTGGTACAAAAGAGACGTGGTTGTGCCCACCTGCCAGCTAACTTGCTTTCTTTTGATTGCACTGTAGAAAGAAGAGTTGGCTCTGCTTATCACGTTTGTACTTCGGTTATAGTGTCAGGCTTGGGCAGATTAATTGGTTGTAGCTTTAGCAGAGCTGTCAGGGCATTTAACCCATTGAAGAAAAATTACCTAAGCTGATGATAAACAGGCTTTAAATGCAGAGCAATTACTTAGTGCTAACAAAGCACCATGACTACATACTTTGTCCAGATGCAAAAAGCAAAGTCTTATCAGTGGTTCTGTTTGCAGGAGGACACTAACAGATAACCTTTATTTGTGCAAATACTTACCTGACAAGATCATCCAAAAGGGAAGAGATGAAATTTCTGGTTCTGTCTTGCCTGAAGGTTATGCTTCAGATGACAAAGTATCAAACAAAAAGAATAGTAATCACAAAATAAGAATGCCCAATTCTCTCTTTTAGTTGATCTGAAAGCCTCCTACAGTGGGTTTCTGTCCTGCTTGTGTTGATTCCTTTGATTTCTAGCACATAACAATAAAGCAGTTTAGAGACCTTTAACCAGTAGGACTTTGGATTTCATTGTTAACAAGAACTGGCAAAGCTAGAGGGCTGGTTAGCATTGAACTTGGTTTGTTCATTGCAGGCTTAACCCTGATTGGTGGTCAGGGTTTACAGTGCAGCAACCTTGTGACTCACAACTGTTCTGTTTTGCATTGATGGTGAAACTGGTCCGGGAGTTTCCAAACTGTGAAAGCTTACGAGGTGCTTTTAGTGGGATGTGCACTTGATACCATTTGCCTCTCAAGGGTCACAGGTCACATTCTGAAGCAGCAGAGGATTGAGTTTTTATTGTGATGAATCTTAACATATTGTGCTTGACCTCTGTCTAGCTCACTCCATTTTTTCTGTGTTAAGATTTGACTGAAAGGACACTGTTTGTTGAATGCTTTCAGTTGACCAACTTCTGAAAAAATCCAGTTAGTTATAGCACATCGATCAAAAGATTTACAAAACTGACATCTTTTATTTTCCTTTTGAATAATTTACCAGAGATTTCCCATTTGGGGTTTGTAAAGGACCTTTATGTCAAAGGAAAAATAGCATGCAAGCACATGCTTTGGTGGTTTTGGTTCAAGGCCTTATATTAACACAAGAATGCTCAAAGCTACATCTCATGCAGAAAGCAAATACTTACTTTCTAGTGAAATGTTGCTAAGTGCATTTGTCTTGGCCTACTCTATGGTCTCTGACAGATTTTTAGACATGAATGTGATTTTAGGTTCATTTGGATGCCATGTAGTGCTTTGTCTGGATGCTAATGCAACGGCATGGTGTTTGTGTGAGCCCCATCTTGCCTGCTGTACTTTACTGACTTTGGATTCCTTCAACCAGTTTCAGTTGCAATTGACAGAGGGATGGAGGTGGTAGAGACATTATGTTCCTACTTGGTACATGAGGGGAAGTGTCTGGGTCAAAAACCAAGAGGCTCTGGATTAGTCTTGTGTGCCCCCTCCTGAAAAAGATTTTGTATAAGCTATCACCTCGTTAGGTTCAGAGAACCTCTGTGGACAAGCAAGCTGCTGGACATCAGTCATTTTCTTGCTCACTGGACTATTTGGTCTGTGTGGACTTCCTGTCCCAACTGATTTGCTTGCATTTTATGATGAGTTCCTCTGAAAATGCCTCTTGAGTTGATATTCTGGTGTTTCTTATTTTCTTGTTCCCCACCCACTAAAGGCTGACAAAACTGTCAATAAACATTCATTTCTGGGAGGTGTCGTCACAACTTACATTCAGGTAGCTGTTGAGTTTCCAAATGGGACTAACAGAAGTTTTCTTGGAAGAGGTCTTAATTGCAGATGTGCAGCACAACAAGATGTGGTTTTGAAATAGCTGCTCAGCTCGCCACAGGTGTGGTGACCATGCATAATTTGTATTTTAAATGACAGGGTCTGAGCTGCCTACTTCTAGGTGATTTCAGTGATTTCCCACTCCTGAAGCTGTGTACTCTTCACCTTTGGAGATGTGGGTACCATATAGGATTGGACCATATAGAAGCTGGTCCAGTGCCTTCATAACACGTTTTGTGAATGCTGTTGTACATGCAAGCTCTGACTGCTCAGCTGTTTTTCTGTGGCCCACCACAACCAGATTGGGATTTTGTGAGTCAATAGGACTGCAAATCTGAAGCTGGACCAGCCTTACTTACTGAGGGGTTCTTAATGCCTCAGTTTGCATAGCAATTTCCATTGCACTCCTTTCAGAATGAGTGCTGGATATATGCATGTACAGATGTGTCTTGCATAAGACTGGGAGGGCAGTGCCTACTTCTTTTCCTGGAAATAGATTTGGGAGGAATGTTGGATGCTGGTGCTGCAGAGCTGCTGCTGCAGGCTCATGTATCTCAGGGAGGGGGACAGGTACGGGGAGAGGATGACTGTCACCAGGGCCCATGCTGGCTGAGCCCCCCCTGACAAAGGAAGTCCCTTGATCATGAGTTTGCTTTTCATCTGCACACTTTTTATTAGGGGTTCGAAGTTGCAGGAAATAAAATGCAGTCCTTGAAGGCGGCAGGGGAACGTGATGTTAGTCATCGATATCGGTCGTTGACAGTTTCTGCCTTATGGGCTATTCAGGCTATTTCCTGAAAAAGGAAATCTTTCATTAGCTAATTATTTTCTTTAGCAGTGCTGTAAGGGCATCAGCAAATAATAGTTCCTGGCAAAGCTACCGCACCATTTAGTGTCTGCTTGTGTGATCAGAGGAGAATGATGGGGAAATTTTAATGACAAATTCTGTCAGAGCTGAAAAATACTAATGGCTTCAAAATGCTGTTCAGAGTTGACTCCTTAGCAATCAATTTTAATAAATCTCCTATGTGCAAGTGAGAAATCTAGATGTCATATGTTATCTGATATCTAGATTGTGACTGTTTTCTAGTGGTCTTTGGCACCGTGCCAAATGTATTATGAAGGTGTGATGCAGCAGAGCCACTGAAGCACGTTCACCTGTAATAGGAGCAATTGTATAGCCTGCAGAACTAAAAAGGGAAAATGCAGTATCCCAGTGAGACTGCAGCTGAGAATTAGGTGGGTAGAGCAGACATGCTTGCAGAGCCAGAAGGAGCAAGGGCACAGTCCTGCTCCAGAAGAGTGCCGTAAGATTGGTGGTGCCCAGTTGTCAGTGCCTTGCTTGCAGGACTCTTCCCCTCCCACCCCAATAAAGCTTAGATTTTTATCAAAAGTATGAAAGGAGTATGAGGCTTTGTACCACTCACCTTGACAGCGTGAAAAGTCCTAGTCCCTCTAAGACAGCTTTGAAAGCAGCAGTTTAAGATAGTTATTTAAGACAACTAAGAATAGAATGAACTGAGGTGCTTTCGTTATTTCTTAGATTCAGTGCTCTGCCAAAGGTCGCGGTTGGTACTGTTATCCCTGTTGATCTGTGTTTTAGCTAATTATGTTGTCACAGCTTCTAAAACGTCTTTTTTGAGTTCCTGTGTACTTTCTCAGTAGGATCATGGCATGGTCATGTAGGCCTTTCAAGTATCTGGTTTTTTGGACATGTCCAGTGGTTTTTCTGTTCACTGCCATTCAGTTCTGCCATTACAAACTTGTCTTTGTCAGAGCTTTGTTCATGTATTTAATAATATCAAAAATTTTGTTTTCTGTATTGCTTTAAAACCACATGGTTGTAATGCAGGAGCTGAGTTCACTGTTTATTCTCTAAGCAGCATGTAGTGTAAAGTAGTTGCACCTCTTGAGATACTCGGTTGATTTTTTGCAAGAGTGGTGTGATTCTCTGCTCCTGTGTTACATTTGTTATGACTGGAAAATAAAGCTCTTTGACTGGTTGGTTGTGTGTGCACACAAAGGTAGACATTTCAGCTAGATGCACTCTTCCTGACATCTTTATGGCAGATCCATAGGTTTTCTTAAACTTTTCTTGCTAATATCCACTTACTTTTACAAGGTCTATTTTTCTCCGTAATGTTGCTTTAATCCAGTTTTTCATCTTACTGTAAGTCACTTTAATTAGGAAGTATCTTCTCTGATCAGGTTTCTGTAATTTAGCTTTACTGAACAGGTCTGTCAATTGATAATCAGTGGTCTTGCCTGAAACCTTGGTTTATATAAGGAAAATATGCCTTTCTCAAGTAAGTCATTATAAAGTCTATACCAATATGTTTATTTCTGTATGCAAAAAGGAATTTATACCAATCAACTTGATGTTGGAAGAACAGTATCTGCATGGCATTTTTCCCAATATAATTATTTCAGTTACAAGACCGTAAATCACAGCTTTCTGGGAGACCAGCAATCTTGTACTAAAACCCGTAAGAAATACTACAGATATGTAGTTTGGGTTATTTAGTTTTGTTACTGGGTTAATTGTTTAAAGAAACACATCTGTGCTCAGGGTGAGCTTTCTGTGGCTGTAAATGTCGTGGTACCCACTTACCTGACAGTTGAAGAATGACACTGGCACAGCATTCATTCTTCTTGTGGAATTGCTGTGCCCATGAGGAATGCTGTAAAAGTAGCTGGTGTTTACAGGATGACATAATTCCAGTTTTTGACAAGCTTTGTCTCTCTAGCATTATTGTTCTGCAGTCTTTTGGTGAGGAGAGGAAATCTTTGAGTTTCATGGTCAAAAAGGTGTGACACATCCATTTTTCTCTTTTTCCAGGATTTTTCCCAGAGAGTATCTTCTCCAGCAAATCCATCTTTATTCTCTCGCAGACCTTCAGCAAGTAAGTTTCTTCAACTAGTTCTACCTGCTACACATCAAACCTGTTCTCATCTTCAGTGCTAATTGTACATTCCCTCTTCTAGCTAATCGTAGCATAAATAGCTTTACTTCCAAGCTATCTCTGTGATTAATAGTTTAAGATAAAATGAATTAGTGAGGCATTGGTTAGGGATGAGAGGCAAAAGCTTAGAGGGTCAGTGTTGAAATGGAGCTGGAAAGAGGCTGTGAAAGAAAACTGTAGTCTGTAAAAGGAACTTTGCTGTGAGGTTTTTCATCTGATCAGTGAAGGCCCATCTAAGGTTCAGCCTACAGGTAACAAGAACAGTTTATTTCTTTGTTTGAAAGAATAGTTGTTCAGGGATGGATGAGTTTGTACAGTCCCTAACACAGCAAGCTTATTTATAAAGTCTGCTAGGCATTACCATGACAGATGAAGAAAAAAAAAAAATAAAAATCCCAAACCACAAAAACCTCAGCAAGGCTGCTGCTACACAGAGGTAAGCCATGCAGTGTTACTGTGACAGATGCGGCCACAAAAGAGGTAACGTGCCAGCAAAATGTGTCTTTGCATTGATATTGATTGAACTAAGCGGACACCTTTGCAGTACATCGGCCTAAAGAGCAGAATTTCATTACCTTCCAGATTAAAGAAGAAGAATTTGGCAAAAAAAAAAAGCTGAAAAAAAGAGGAATAGGGAATCTAGGGTGAATGTGCTGCAGCGCTCAGATGCAAAATGGGAAAAGTGATGAGGCAAGATGTGATAGCTGACCCGAGCACATCTGTGTTCAGACTCTAATGCCGTTGCCGGTGATATGTAAACACGTTATTTAAAGCTTCTTCCACTGATACTTCCCTTGTTTAGTGGTGCCTTTTCTGCAGGATAATGGATAGCACAGTCAGTTCTGGATGGTCAGGTGACTCATTTAAGTTAAGGTAGTTGAGATGTCCCTCAGAGCTGGAGACTACAGAACTGCAGGAAACGTGGCTTTTGTTGGCTGGTGAAGTCACGGGGTAGAAATGATTCTATACATAAAATAAAAAGGCAGTCATCTGAGCTCTAAAACTGTTTCCACATCTTTGCAGCATGTTCTGCTATCTCATCTTTAATAATCAAGCCGTGAAAAAGCAAGCTACTTAACTCCAGAGCTGCAGTCCCCCTGGTGGGTCTATCTATTAGCCCCCAGTGCTTTGTAAGCTGCTTAATCAGTTCCTAACATTGGTAGTAGATATTTTAGAAGCAATCAGCAGCTTATCAAGCACCCTCTGGGAAGGAGGGAGGGTAGAAGTCACAATTCATCCATTGATTTAGCAATTCCCTTTAGCATGTTTCTTTGTGTTTCTGTTTGCAAGACACCTTCTCTTCCCCTGAGGGCCCCAGCCCCAAACTTATCATGTTTAGAGGCAATATAATTTGATTACCATTTCTGCTGGGGTGAGTTAAATTGCATTTACCTTTTAATCTAGCTATATCCTTGTCAGCCTGGAGAGGGTTTTCCACATTTCAGAGGCTCCAAGTTTGAAATTCGATTGCCTGTTTTTGTCAAAGTGGAACTAGAGTGGAAAAAGGAGGAGGGCTCCACTGAGAAAATTAATCCAACAGCCGGAGGAACACTAATACCCTTACAGCCCGTGACTCCTCCCTGGTTTGTCTCTTACAACTGCTTTCTCCCAGTTGCTCATCATTTTCTACTGACCTGCAATTTGGGTGTTTTTTTTTAATCCTAAAAGTTTCTCCTCCTTTTAATTCCTCTGCTGCCTATTTTTTCATATCCATGGACTGCTTTCGCACTGTATCCTGCTGTCATGTAGATTGCATGTGTTTGGGGAATTAACTAAAAGGTTTATTAAAGATTAATGGAAAGATAAGGCATGGTGAGTAAATTAGAAAAGCAGAGAGGGGTAATCTGCAGATGTAAGCAACCTTTACCCTGGTTAGTCGCAGCTCAGTTCTGATTTGTTTCCTAGCCAAGTTCTCTGTGGAGATCCTAGAAAACATGGGTCATTTCTTCCCAAGCAGCTGAGATTCAAAAATGTAGTATGAGGGTCTGTTCTTAGGGACAAAAAAAAAGTTGAAATGTCTTTTGGCCAGTAGCTGAAGCAGCAGATAATACTATTCCAAAATTAAATTTAATCTAAACCTCTTTCCAAGCTTAACAGAGCTTCATGCCTAGACCCTGTGGATACGGCAGGTATATACTTGAGCTTTCTGATGGTCTGGGGATGGCTGTCACTTGAATCCATTTAGATAGGGCTCTGCTGGGGGAGACTTTAACTATGAGGTTAAAAGCAGAGTGGAAAAAATTGAAACAAATTTAATTAAATCTTTAACTTTGGGAACTCACCAAATCCTGGTGAGGCAATGGTTTTGCTAGTGCTTTATTCAGTAATAAATGCCTGTAGTGCAGATGTGAGTAGGCTTGACCTTTAACTAAAGAGACAGTGAGTGAAGGTCTTTATTTGCATGTACATGTTTATTTAAAGTGAACAAAAACACATGCATGTACCCCAGCAAGGTCTCACTGCAGACCAGGGCCCCAGGGACTGCATTAAAGTTTACAGCAAGTCTATCTATGGGCATTCCCATGAGGTACATATTCTTAGAATCCCCTTGTCGTCCTTGTTGTGGGAGGTGTTAACAGACGAGATAATGAATTAGGTGCATTCAGATGTAACAAGCAGAATCTCAAAGTGTGACAGCTTGCCTATTCTGCCCCATTGGCTACGCTTGCTTTCCTTTCCAACTCTCCCTGGCGTCATCTGCCCAGAGAGAAATCTGCCCTGCGTTGCCTATAGCACCACTGCATCTCTGTTAGCCAGTTTTTGAAGGCTATTCCAATCAATTAAAGCCCTAAAGAGGGAGACTTGCAGTTGTTAGGAAGCAGGTATTTACTCCTGAAATTGCTGGTTTTAGTAGGCACAGTATAGGGCAGCTTCACCTGAAAACTACTAGAGGTATAACTGTTCTCTGCTGACATGACTAATGGACATGTATCACTGGTTATGTGTATGTGTGGACACAGTTTATGCAAGCTGGTGTTCAAAACTATCCATTCATTTTGTGTAACTGTGGGGCTGCTTTTGTTGAAGCTTAACAGTACTCACACTGTTAAACATTGGTTTGGACAGAAGCTGACTCAGACAAGACTATACATTTCTTAGGAACAATAAGTCTTGCTACTTCTACTAGATTCCACATAAATGGGAGCTGTTAAAGTAAAAGGCTTGAAATAGCTGTTGTTCAAAATTGAGGTGCTTAATCCACACAGGTAACTAATATCTTGCCTATTTTTTATGTTAAATAGCAAGACATACAAGTGTACAAAGTTTATTGCAGGGATGGTCTTTACTGCAGAAACACTCAATCATGGCAGTTATTTCATCCTGGCTGTACTGGCCCCAGAAGGTATTAAAAAGAATCCATGTCATGTCAAAAATGACTGGATGTCAAGGATGGAAATCATGACCAAGATAGGAGATTTAAGAAGACAATTATTTGAAGATTTGTTTACATGGCAACACTAAAGGAAGAAAAACGAAGTGACAAAATATGGGGATTTAAAATGATGAGTTCAGTTACACTGAATCACTGTGTAAATACTGTTATTCAAAATATAAGTGGCTTTCATTTGGTTTATCTTCATTTACTTTGGAAGCAAAGTGAGCTGAATTATATTAAGAGTATTTTTATTCTGAATGTGTCTGTCCATACAGGGATTTAATGTGATATAATTTATCCATTTTAACATTGTAGATAAACTAATCTGTTAACATTTAATTAAAACATCCATTTACTTCAGATCAACTTCCCTGACTATGTACCTGTAGGTGAACCTACAAACAATGTGAAGAACAATGGAGATAAAGGATGAACAGGAGAGCCCTATTCTCACAGTAATATAGCACAAGTGATACGGTGAATATGAGCTATGCATAAAAATCCTTAATAGAAATGTGTCTTTGCAGAGCACACAGTGAGCAGGAGGAACTTAATGTCACAGTAATATTACTGAGGCCACGAGTTTATCATCTTTGAAAGGATTAAGTATCCATAATGAGAATATCCACAGTTACAGTACGTCAGATAAAAAGATGATGAGGGTTCAGAATAGACATATTATTTACTGAGGGGATTAGGAAGATGACTTCCCTATTGACAGACGGATCAATGATTTCATCTTCCTCTGACGTAAATAGTACTGATTACAGCATCCGATAGCGTTTTGGACTACGTGAACAGTTGGTCTAACAGAAGCATTGCAATATGAAAATCTCGATGTTTCTGTTCAAGATTTTGTGCAAACAAGGTTCCCTAAGAAAAATTTGGGGAATAAAAGTGAACTTCAATGAAACGTTAGTTCAACTTAATTTGAGCCTAGTATATTGTTACATCAGGATTAGGAAGCATTAGAAAAACAAAGAAATTGTTAGGTCTTGTTTGGATTTCCAGACTTTTAACCCATGCTGTACTTCCATCACATCTCCTTTTCCAGTGGCAAATTTGAGTCCTCTCTGTATTTTCCTAGACTGAGATGGAGGAGGAAATGGAAAATGCTTTTGTATGTGTAAAACTGAATGGTTATTTAGACAAGTTGTTTCACAAGTCCCAACAATAGCAAAGACTGCAAGGACATGTGGAATTTTGTTTTCTTTTTTTTCAGAAGTAAAACTTGTGTTCTGATCACTCAGTGCTCATACAATTACTGAGAAATGTTCATCTTAGGTTACCAGCAGTTCCTTTTTATTCAAGCATAAAAAGCATGGGATGTGGCATCTAGCCCACATGCCTGCACTGGTGAAAGCTAGTATGTGTATGTATATTGCTTGACAAAACTGGGTTTATATACTGGGCTGATATACTCTGGGCTTGCTCTAGTTTTAGAAGTGTTACTGGAATAGGTGCATGACAAACATTGCCCACCCTACCTCTTAATGGATGTAGCCATACCAGTAAATGCATTAGTGCAAACTTGTTATATCAATGAGAAAGTCTTTTGCTGTCATTTCTTTCATTCAGTGATTCAATATAAGCTGTGTCAGCTTAGAGTTTTATTTACCAAAGAAGTTTACCCATGTAGCTGTACCAGCAGATCCTTTTAAGTTCAGGCAAGCCCTTTTTTGCTTGCGGGGTAGGAGGTGGCAAATGAGAAGGACAATTAGGTTTTTGGCAGGCTTGGCAGTGCTGAGATGGCTGAAGATTTGTCTGTCACAGTTCTCTGTGAGAGTTTACTGAGCTCAACAAGGGCAGCAAAATGCCAAGCATGTCAGTGCCATAGCTGCCACAGCTCAGAGCTCAGCACCATAGTGAAAACACTGATTTACATCCCTAGCCTCCCAGCCATGTGTGATGGCGATGCAAGTCCTGCAGTGCATTACTACCAGTCAGCTGACCACGGGTTGGAAGATGTTGCTCCAGAGTAGAGCTGGTTTAAAACAGCAGTGGGTTTTCACTGGCATGTCAGGTACAGCCCCAGCTCTTAAA